TTATACAGCCTGGCCATTTTTTTTTTTTTTTTTTTTTTTTTTGTTCCTTAGCATCTTTTTTGAAAATATATGTTCATATAGCAATCCCTAGTTGCTAGCTTTGTGACCTGGGTTAGTTAGTTATTTGAGCTCTCTGAGATTCAATTTTCTCATCTTTAAAATGAGACAAATGAGGGCTCTCCCTGGTGGCACACGGGTTAAAGCACCGCATTATGAAGCTCTCCGAAGCCACTGACGAACAAGTTCAGTCCCCAGCCAGAGAGCTGACCCACATGGTGTGGACGACCTCTTCTGACCCACCTGCTGCTCCCCTCAGCAATGTACTTTATCAGTCTGCCTGTTCTTCTCCCTGCTCTGTCTCTGGTGAATCCTCTCACCCTCTGACCTGTATCTCAGATCTGTAAACATAAGTAAATCTTTTTTTAAAAAAAATTAGACAAATGATACCTAACTGCTGAACTGTGTTGTGAGGAATAAGTGAGCAGGACCCCACCTGTAGCAGGGGAGTATGTATGCCCCTTGTCTCCACTGCATGGTGGGTACTTGAGCACACAGGATTTTGGAAATTTGAAATCACTGTTGTGTTTACATGCTGTGACCCCAGGGCAGATAGTGGAGGACAGTGTATGGGCTTATTAGGTCTGGCAAGTAGCAGGGTAGAGATTGCTTAGCATTCTGAATTTTTAAAATGCTATGTATGGTTAGACAGGTTTCTAAAGATTAAGTGTGGCCATGAAGACGTCACATGAATGAATGCCAGGACTCTTAGTATATTTTCTTATTTGTTCTGTATTGTTTTTACAAGTGAAGCTTGAAATAGCTTTACTTCTAGTGCCTCTAAATGTGGCAGGGCTGGTAGAGATCTTTTTTTATGCATAGGCATATTTTCCAGAAGTTAGTCATTATAGACTCTAGTTCAGGGGGCTATTTTATGGGCAGCTCCCTACCCTCCCCCCCTTTCCCACTCACACTCTAACACAGACTAAGTCACTGATTTGAATAAAGTTTAGCTTGTTCCCCTATTGTTGGGGTATCAGGATCTTTATCTTTCCTCCTGGAGACAATATATTGTGAAATGTTGCCCTGGGTACACCTCACAGGATTTCTGTTCTTGGAGGTTCGTTTTGGGGAGCCCTTGTCCTATAACCCAGTCTGTCTTCCTGAACACCCTCTTCTGAGGGTGGCCCTGTGAGCATCTGCTCACCTGACAACCTTCACAGAACTAACTGCACTGTAACGAAATGATGGGTGGAGTAAAAGCAGCTTACCATTAAGTGGGTATGCAGAAGTAAGAGTGTTCTAGACTCGCCTGAGGCTGCAACTCAAGCAGGTGACCTGTGATGAACACCTCCACAGTTCCCCAAAATTACACCTGTGTCTCCTAAGCTCTGCTTTCTTCCTCCCTCCTGCTGTGTGATTCTCTCCTCTCCTCACACAAGTTCCACCCACCATGCTCTCAAGTGGTTCTTCATTTTCAGCGCCTCTCTGGACCCCACAGGCAGCAACCACCCATAAGTTTTTTCCTCATCTCAGCATCTTACTTGAAGATTTAAAAACTAATGCTTTCTAGTTGCTGACAGTGAGGCTGCATTAGGTCACTTAATTTCCACATCACAGTCATTTTAGGGTAAGGTAATCCAAATTTCCTTCTGTTTTTGTTTTTTCCTATCTGTACAAAGGAGAATTTCAGTATCCAGTTCTTAGTAGTTCTAGTATATCTGTTCAGAATGTGTCATATTCATTGTGTCGAATCTCTGTCTAGGATACCCAGGTAGCCAGTGGCAAGCATTTGCTGTAAAATGGGAGCTTCAGCATGACCCACTTTATTTGTAGTTTATTTATGTGTATACAAAGAAAGCTGGTCTGCAGGAACCTCAGATCTTAAACAGTGCCAACACTGAAGGAATGTTCGACTTAGCAGTGAGCCCCCTGCACACTCAGAAAACATGAGGTTTGGTTTGCTCATCAGGTAGAGGGCTGCCATCACTGGGAGGCTCTACCACTGACACACAACGCACTCGATTCTTGTCATCCGCAGGGGGTTGTGTTTTGTAAAGTCGGGGTGTATGGAGCCCTTGTTTATGGGAGAGGCGTAGGTCATGATATTTGCATCAGATAGTCAGAACACACCCTGGTTTTGTGTTTTCCTGTTTATAGACATTAGTGTGCATTGTTGACATTTGCACTGAACACAAAGCCAGAAGCACTGTAACACCTCTGGGAGCAAGACTCACTGGCAAGCACGATCTTCTCCATCACATCCCAGAACCACAGACCCCAGTTGCACACCTGCTGGGGTGTCCTTTGGCCATGAAGTCAGCAGTGCCTGGAACGGCAAACATGCCAGGCCACAGTGCCAGCCAGATGGGAAAGCCGGACAGCAGGCAGTGTCAAATACAGCCTCAGTCAAGTATGCTGGGCAGGTACTGACACCTTTGCCAGAGACTGGGACAGTGCCACATGCAGGGACTTGGGTCCCCAGATTAGTCTGATGAGGAGAATTCACAAGTCAGGACTCCACGGGTAAGGAAAAGGGACTGTTTCCACATGCGTAAATGTTGGGTTCCTGAGGGCCATAACTGGTTATTAAATAGAGAGCTCTGTTCTGCAGTAGCCTGGTACTAACTAAACCTAATGCTTCATTATAGAAGTGATTAAAACGATCATAATTGGCATATAGAAACCTCATAATAAGAACAATGGCACATGTATCAATACTCTGCAGTGGAACCTCATTTCCACCCATCTTGCTGTTTCCACGGCAAAATTTATTCTGAATTCCAACTGAGATGCCAACACGCTTTTGCTCCCCGAGCCCTCAGTCCCAGTGATGACCTATCCACCACACATACCGAAAGCGTAGGACCCCTCTTTCCTTAGTCTAGCTGTGGGAAGCAGGTGGTAGAGAAGGTGGTATAGCTGCTGGTAGGGAGCAAGGGTTTCTGTGGGAGGAGGGAGGAATGAGTCTGTCTCTACAACTCTCCTGCCTCCCCCAGCCAAGCCAGGGCTCTGTGGATAAGGAAGAGGGACTATGTCTCTACCAATATAGCTGCTGGGTTTCTGTCGGAAGAGGGGGGGACAAGGCTGTCTCCACAACTCCTTATGGAAGCTGGGGCAATGGTCAGGACAACTCCAAAGCTGGTGGAAGCCATATACTCAAAACAGCAGTCCTCCTAGAAATAAAATTTTGGACCATTGATCTGATCCATTAAGGCATTTCCTGCCCTCAAGGATTCAAGCTGGAACGATGTTATTAGTGGTGGTAAAATAAAAATGCAGGCAGGGTCTCCCTTGTGAGGAGCCGTAGTGGGAGTCTGGTCATGGGATCAGCAGCCTGTGCGTTTATGTGAACTGAGCAGTGTTATCTATGTACAGTCTGTTCCCACAGCATTACTGTTCTCTGTAATACTTAACAGATGTGCATGTGCTTTTTGTTCATCTGTGTTCACTTAATGAATAAAAATTTGAGGTGAAACAATGATCATTCAGATGTGAAAAATAATGGGGGGGTGTACTGAAACACTTTTTAGAACTTAAAAATGAGCCTCGTGCATTTTTTTTTCAATATTTATTCATTATGCATACAGGACTGGGGTATACAGGCAAGATGTGCAGGGGCTGGTGGAGGATTCACCAGAGACAGAGTGGGGAGCAGAACAGGCCAACTGACGAAGTACACTGCTGAGGGGAGCAGCGGGCGGGTCAGGAGAGGTCTGCCGTGCCATGTGGATCACCTCTGGGGCAGGCGGGGATTGAACTCATGCAGAAGTAGCCTTAGCTTCTTAGTGCTGTGCTTTACCCCGCTGCGCCACCAGGGAGGCCCCATGCATTTCTTTTAAAGGGCAGAAATCCCTGTCTGGGAAGGGAAATCTGCTGTCTTTCTTATAAGGTTTTTGAAGTTTTAAGATCTTTTAGTGAAAAATGAGAGACCACAGATTAAACAGAGCTCAGCTCTGTTGTTTTTAATTCAGCTATGCAACTGATATTTTTATAATTTTAATGAAGCTAAATTATTTTAATATATTTAACACCATTTGCTAATGTCTTTTTTTTTTTTTTGTATTAATTTTGCCCCAAGGAAGAATAACACATTGTCTATTGCCAGTAAACAACATGCCTTAAGGGGGGGGGGGAGAGGGGGGACCTTTGTTTTAAGCCAGATCTTCTGTTTCCTTCTTGCTCTCACTGTGGTTTGGGGTCAGTAGCACAGGAGCCCTTTTACTCTCATCCCTATAATGTGTCCTTCTTCCTGCAGGCTCAGAGAAGTGTGGCTCTACTTAATTGGATCTCTTAACATCTTTTGGCTTTGGGGTCGTTTTTCCCAGGGAAACGGCAAGTAGGAAAATGCCGTTTATATTATTATTTAACTCATAACTAACATAATTATGGAACCCTAATTAAATAAATTAGAAAAGAGCAGGCAGTCCATACCTGGGAAAATCATCAGGCATCAAAGGAATTCCTTTCCTTCCCCTAGTCCTCCCTGGCCCTGGGTCTCCCCTGCTGCCTCAGCTCTGGAGCATCTGTGTGCAGAAGCCCCCATGGTCACTGGAGGAAAGAGGCTTGGGCACCTGGAACACAGACAATGGGCTTACGAGATGCCTCTCACAACTGCTGACAAGAATCTGGACATTGGTTCCATTTTTGTGATTCCTCACATGAATAGAACTTTTAATTTCTTTAATATTGAAGATAATATCTAAAAGCCAAAGAAGTAGTTGGTGTGTTAAATGATAATGCTTGGTCTAGTAAATAAGATTTCTCTACCTAATGGAGATAAACTTTACGATTAAAGTTATAATTAAGAGAGTCTAACATGAAACACTGTGGTTGCAGTTTTGCTTCTGAATTCATTTTGGTAAAATAAGGAAGTGCATGGTTATTCTTGGTAACAGGGTTATTAAATTTCATATTGAACATATTTTGTTTTGTGTAATATTTACTCAATAGAAGAAATGTTAAGATCAGTTTCACTGACGATGATTTTTTTCCCTTTTTAGTTGGCCACACAGAAATTGCCTTCTCCGTGTTCCCATAGCCAGAACATGACCTGACACCCTGATGACCAGTCTCAGGGCCCTTGGGTGACTGCTGGTGCACCATGGAACTGAAAGTATGGGTAGATGGAATTCAGAGGATTGTTTGTGGGGTCACCGAAGTCACAACTTGCCAGGAGGTTGTAATAGCCCTAGCTCAAGCAATAGGTAAGTGAATGCTGGCATCTGAGGTCAGTTGCTTTATGCTTCCTTTTCTTGCTTGCTTGTTTTGTGCATTGGTCCCAAGCTCTGTCTCAAAGCACACTGATGACTGATATGTGTAGGTGATCTATGAAGAGGCTTATTTTCTGTGCCCTCCCTCTTTCTCCCCCCCCCCCCCACGACCACCACCAGATTTTCCTCATCTTGAGTCTTGAGTCTGCTCAGCCTTCTCTTCTGTGGTTCATCTTAAACAGTGTTCCTGAAACTCAAGATATTTTCTTAAGCCAAAACATACTTCTGTTTCCCACACCCCTCACTAGGAAAAATACTTACTAGTTGTTTCTGAATATGGAGAAAAGGCAACCAATCAAATATCTGCTTTTGCCATTAAAAAAGCAATGGTTACGATTTTAATCCCTACGGTGAAGGTGAGGGCCACACTTACTGGCCACACAACACCTGATTCTCCTCTCCTTTGCAGCTTTTCTTCTTACTCACTCTTAGCTTATCTTGATTATATTTTATGCATACTTTTTAGTTGCCTTCACTTTTGGAAGGTGATAAGGGCATAAACCCCTTTATCAGTAAAGCTAGTTGTGTGGGTTAAGGTTCATATCGGCATCTTAAATCCACCCTCTAGCAAGCGACTCTGAGGTGGGAAGTATGTTTCAGCACCATGCTAGGCACTTAGTGCCTCTTTGTGTCTGAAGCCCTTGGCAGGAGTTTATTTTATGTCATGCTCATTTCTGTTGCAAGCGAGTCAGGTTAGCTCAAAACTGAAACAATTCGCTGTCGCCATAGCCCTTCAGTGTTTTGTGCAGGGATATAGCACCTGAGACATGGCAGATGCCGTGTTGGAGTGGTAGTGACAGAATCAGATATGCAGAAACAGACTTTATTTTCATACTGACGTCTTTTAACTTTTTCTTAACTACTGTTCAGCACACTCATATACTAAAATAATGCTGAAAATCCTAGGTTTCCACATCCAAAGAAATTTTCTTGTATTTGGGAACTAAAATTATATTTGTTCACCTACACTTGATTACTGAAGAAGGGAAATTAGGCATTTAATTTTGTTTCATATTGTTTGTTGCCAACTTAATTCATTGTTGCTGCTTTTGATGAAAGTCTCACACTTATTTTGTATTAAAATATTTAGCCCTTTTTTTTTGTTACTGCTTAGAGAATGTCAACTAAGATTTACAAATGCCAAACCTAATTCTCTTTGTTCTATTTGGGAATCAAACCATGGGCAATGCAAAAGGAAGGGAGGAAGGGAGGGGGGTAGAGAGGTAGACAGACAGACAAAACTCAAGCAAATGGTTTTTACAGAAGTCAAGGTGGGTAAGGGAGTTCAATGAGTGGCATCTGTCCATATGGTGACCACATTTTCCACATAGAATTTCACAGGGAACATCCCAGATGTACGAGGTCTGCTGGCCAGTAGAACAGTCTTGCTGTGAACAAGCTAAAAGGAAGTTTTAACTGCACCTTCCTCCCACTTCTGCTTCTTCATCATTCCAGACCTGTTTTGAATAGTTTACAATTTGAATACAGATGTTTTACTGTGTTTCTCCAAACTCCACTGATGAACTCTCTGTCTTTCTGGGTCGTAAATACTTCAGGTTCAGAATTCACCTGAGAGATGAGTGAGCAGTCACCCAGCAGAGAGCTGTGACCCTTTCTTCCCTTGTGCCCTGAGAGTGCAGTGGCTTCTCATACTTAAATGGTTGCCCATCTTATAGTGAGAGTTCTGGTCAACAGAACAGTTTTTTTCAGCATCTTGAGCTTATTTGGATTATAGTAAATATTAGAGGGTTTATTAATTGGGGAAATTGCCGCTCTGACAGACCACCCCAGGAAGAGATTGGCTTTATGTTAGCAGTGGACTGAAAACCACAGATGTTCCTAAAAACTATACAGCAAAGTAATTTTAGACTAACGTCTGCGGTTGACTAACATATAGGTATGGTTGATTAGAAATTACGGGGTTTTCCTGGATAGCTAAAATTACTTTCAGGAAATCACAGTAAGAATATATGTATACAATAAGCAATCAGCAAATGTATTTGACAGCTAACCTTTTCTAACCGTTACTAATCAAATTAGAAAAAAAAGTTAAAACATAATTTGCTAAAATATTTTGGTTATATGTAATAAACATAGAAAGGAAGGAATCCTTTCTACTCTGATCTTTGACCACCTTGACAGGTAACATCTAGGTGGTGAAAATGGAACACATGCTTAGATCGCCATGCAGAATTGGCACCAAAGACTGTGACGGCCTAGCTTAGATGTGCTGTGCCCCATCACCACATAGCCCCCACTTTCAGAAACATCCCCGATTTTAAATACTCTGCCTTAGTTCTCCCATAAACTATGATAGAAATGCCATGATTTCAGAGCTTAAACTGCTTTTCAAATCTATGAACCAGAATGCCTTGAAAAATCATCTGTCTCATGTTAAGTTAAAGAAATATATTTGCATCTATAATATTGCAAACCAAATATGAAAAGAATGTGTTTCCACTCACAAGTAGCTTAGAGCTTAAATAAACTACAGTTAAGACAAGATTAGTAGAGAAAAGAAGAGAAAGAAGCAGTCAAGACAATGGAGAGGAAGGTTTCCTGGCTCACACTGCTTTGGTGCCTCGTGCTATTCAAGTACTAAAATTTGGCCTTTTTCTTTTTGGACTTGACTTTTTCAAGAATACCCTGTTCTTATGGTCTTCTCCCCCATCTCCTTTAAACTGGGCAGAGCTTAGCATTTAATGGGGTCAGAATGATTAGGATTGGGGTGAGGCCCCGAGAAAATCAGCTTTCAAACAAACACATTTTGTACCCGACTGTAGTTTCAGTTTCTTAACACTTTTCCTCACTCTGGAAGCCCTTCTTAGGTAAGGGTCCTTCTTACTTATCTCTTATATCATTGCCTTGTCAAAATTGGTGTGTGGAAAAACATAGCTTCTCAAACCTCATGTCCTGTAGATATTTCTGCAGGGCTGGAAATGTTCTGTATCTGTGGTGACCAGTATGATGGCCACTGGCCACTGCAACTCTGAGTACTGAAAATGAGGCTGGTTTAACAGAGGAAATGACTCTTTTAATTAAATTCAAATGTAATTAATGGCTATGAGTAACTCAGTGCTAGAAGATGATGAATTGATATCTCTGGCTTAAAATCTCAAAACCTAATTTCTGTATCTTAACTACTCTGCATCTTCATATGTCCTCCTCATTTCAGCAGACAAGAAGTGTTGTAAGTGACCAGATTTAAAACCTTCATAGGATATTTGACTCATTTTTTGCTTCAATACCTTACAACCAATTCATCAGCAAACCCTGCCTGTCCAGACTTCAGTGTGCGCCCACAGCATGTTGCTTCTCTCCCCAACCCATTACTGCATCCTAAACAGCAGTGACTCCTGGCTGGCCTCCAGCATCTCCCTGCATCATAATGGCCTCTCCAGAATGACATGGAAACAAGAATACAAATCCTTAGTAGTAAAATAGGCTGCTTTTTATATCCCAGGTCATATTTTGTAACTTGTCTATGTATATTTTGGCAGTTTATAACAATAGCAATTCTAAGTTGAGTTGATATTTTCCACATCCATAAGCATATTCTACAGAATGTGAAGATAGGTAATCGGTACCATGCATCAGTTAAGATAGGTTACATTATGCTGCACTAACAATCAACTCCCCAAATCTTAGTGGTTTATAGTGCTATGTTAGCTGTTATTTTGGTTAATATTATTTATGTAAAATTACCACCAGCATAATGTCTCAGAAATAGTAGGCATCATAAATGTTGGCCATTATAAACTCAGTAAGTGTTTTCATTATGTTTAATAGTAATATGCTGGTCATATAATCCTTAGTAGGTCACAGATTTATAAGATGTTGTTACTCATATTGGGAAAAATATACTGTGAGTAATTAAACTACAGACTGAAATCACAACTAGCAATTTATACTCATATTTTTTTATTGTATCACTAGTAAGATACATCTTATCACCGTAAGATAAATATATTTAAAGTTATCCTAATAGCATTACAAAGGACTTATAGGAAATACATTGATAAATTAGCAGGATGTCATCAGGAACTTGTTTTAAATTCTTCAAGTTGGGATTTCTTCACAGATAAATTGAGGATTATGATGCCTACACTTAAGTCACAGGATCAGTTAAGATTATACTTTATTATATGCATCATAAGCATTGAACATACCAACATGATGAAATATTGGTTCTGTTACAGAGATCAGTGTCATTATGGAGCATATCAGTGGTTCACCCTGAATCCACATAAGAATCCTGGCATGTATAGGATAGTCCACTAAATGTACACAAATGTTTTTATAGCTCGAGGAATAAAGCCAACATTATCAGGAAAATGTAGTGGAGTAAGATACTTTATTCATCATGAGTAAAGTGTAGGCTAGCATTATTTCCAGCCTGCCCAGAAATAGGATATATTCACAGTAGATTCATAGGGAATCAGTACCAGCTCTCTTTCACATTTTTTTGAATAATGTGTGGTACTTATCTCTGGAGTAGGGAGGAGTTGATACTGAAAAATAAGTCAAATGACAGTTAAAAGTTGTGAAGAGTGCCACCTCCTTACCCTCTGCCTCACCTTACCACACCCCCCAGTGGGCAACAGGTTAAGATGCAGCACTGCAAGCTAGCTGCAGCCTCTTCAGTGTGAGTGCGATCCCCAGCCCTGGAGGTGATCCATATGGCAGCATATCTCTCCTGTCTCACCAGCTGCTCCCCTCAGCAGTGTATTTTGTCAATCTGCTTGTTCTGCTACCCTCTCTGTCTCTGGTGGATCTTCTCACCACTCCTGTACCTCTGGCTGAACCCCAGTTCTGTATGCATGAATAGATAAATCTTAAAAAAAAAAAAAAAAACTTATGAAAAGATTGATGATCCAAGGTACTTAATAGAAGGTATATCCCCAGGACCTCTCAGTATTTAGTATCTAGTACATATCTATTAAAAAAGAAGGTATGACTTTTAAATCATAATTTTAGGTATTTAGTATATATTTAAATAAATGACGTGAAATTATTTTTAAATTATAATTTTAATTTGGGGCTTTAAGTAGAATTTCCTATAATCATTTAAAAAAGGGATTGTTGATTATAGATGGTTGAAATAAGGGTGTAGTGTTTCTGGGTGACCCATAAAGTTAATGATTCTTGGAATTAGATAATTGTTTCATCTGCTTAAAAGTGTAGCTGATATTTACTGTTTCTGTAATATTTGCTATTATTTCATGTGACAATCAGACCTTGATAGCCTAACAGCTTAACTACAAATGCCACAGATGATAGATAGACAGACAGACCGACCCACTCTGACTCACCGACCGATAGACAGATGAAAAATGTATGATTTCCTTTGTATGTGCTTTAGGGCAACATCAAGATAGTATGTTAGGTGGAACAATAAATGCATCCATTTAATAAAATAGACTAAAAGGAGTTATACAGAAGGAATTTGAATTCATCTGAGTGGAGTGGATTTGTAGGACTTTGCCAAGTGTGGATATTAAAAACATTGACTGTGGAATGTATGTCTCCCTTAAACTACCTAAAACCCAATTTCTGTAATAAAATCAAAGGTACTAATTGGTTTATCTTTTTAAAATAAATAAATAAATAAAGTTTTTTTTTTTTAATTGCTAGCAGAAACCTTTTTTCTTTTTGTCTAATTGCGCTAATACATACTTAATTTTTTAAAAAGGCAAAACTGGCAGTAAAAGCAATTCTAAGTCTTTCAACAAAGTATTCTCATAAGCTAAATAGTACCATTGGTTATTGAAAGCATAGACTTTTTTTATAGAACTTAATATAAATTATATGAAAATGAACAAAAAATAGGGTTTTGATTTTTTAAATTTAGCTTGTATAATATAGTGCTTCTGTTTTCTCTGCAAAGATGCTTCCCTGGTCTGACAGGGTTGAAGAGGGCTCTGCTGGCCTGGTCTCAACCCTCGTGATATGTAGGACAATGGAGGTTTATCTTTTTTAAAAAAGTTGTTTTTATTTTTAATTGCTGGCAGAAACTTTTTTTTTGTCTAATTGCACTATTACATACCTAATTTTTTTAAAAGGAAGAAATTTTATTGCAGAAATTGGGCAGCAGTGGCGGGAGTATACAGTGTGTACACATGCACAGCTTTAACTTTTTAGATTTATCATGTGGTTTTTCTTGGGGTAGCCAGAAAATCACTAGAAAGATTTTTTTATTTCATAGAAGTTGACCTAGAATGATCAGCCTTTCTTTTTCATTCCCCTTGTTTGATAATAGTAACAACTAACGCTTCACTATTTCACAGAACATTTGTATGTTCCACATTTGCACCTGACTCTCACAAAGTTGTCAGGGGAGAAAACACAACTCTCACCCTCTAAATGAGGAAGCAGACACTAAAGGAAATTTAATGATTTGCACAAATCATGTAAATAGAAGACTACGCCGGGCATGGACACAGGCCTTCTGTCTCCAGAGCCTGTGTTCATTCCACGCCATCCTGCTTTACATAGTAGACAGGCACTGAAAGTTGCTTAAGGGCCTGCTTAAAGTCATCTTCACCTTGCATCACTGCCTTCTTGCTGTGTGAATAACAAAGGCCTAAATTAACCCGGGGCTGCCCTGCAATGAACTCCTCTTCAGGCCAGGCAGTGTGGAGGGTATGATCACCCCTAACCCTCAGCATCTGTGAGCTTCTTACCTCCTAATTTACCTTGGATTAAAACCCCAGTCTGCCTCCAAAGCCCCAACTTTCAGCTGCACCCAAGATTCAGATTCCTTGAAAATCCCATATATTTAGGCCAAAATCATTCTTCATGCAATACTTGTGAATTGTTTACATGGGTGTTCATACCTACACACCCAGATCTTCCATTATTGACCCAGGAATTGAGAAAATGCCACTGTTGACACAGAAACTCAAGAAATTTAAAAAGCTGGCAGAGAAGATAAATCAGTAGCTATGGACAGCAACATTACTGTTGCTAGAGATGGTAGGATGTTTTTTGCCTTCATGGCAATACTAATAATGATGACATTTTAATTAATATTATCACTGATAATGGATTCTCAACAAAATTAAATTCAACTGACCCACTTACTTTAAATGAATGTATTTAGGAAGTTTATTCATGGTACTACTATTATATTGTCTTCTGGAACTTTATCTTCACAATTATAGTTCCATTCACCATATTAATTTAATTCTATTCTGATTTTGTATAATTATAACATTTTTGAGCCTTTAAAATTATTATTGTCAAATCTGAATAAGGAAATTCTTGTGTTTGCATGGGGGTGATTTTTTATTTATCTCAGATGTATAGGGAGGGAGCAGCTATGTGAGCTGAGCCCACCTGAGAAACAGGCCAGGCCTGTCCAGCCACCTGGTGGCTTAGGTTATAGGGGACCTATAACCTCCAGATAAGCAACACAGAAAGCAGAGGAATTCACAATGTGGATTTTTTTTCAAATTTGGGCATTTCCACCTTGTCAGTGGGACCAGGCCCCAGACAGGAACGTGAAAGCCCCAAGCATTTGAGCAGTGTGGGAGCCTCACTGTGGTCAAAGGTATAAAGCAAGTCTGAAGAGTAGCATATGCAGTTCACTCACATCCTGTAATTTTTCCTTTTATGTATCATAGGAAATTGAGGATATTCAAGGGAAAAGTTTAAAGGTAGTGTGGACTGGGCTTTGAGCCTAGTCATGAAAACACAGTTGCCAGAGTGGTATCTGGTGCATTCTTCCAGTTACCATGTATGCCATATTGATAATTCTTTTTGTTTTTCTTTCTTGCTTTCTTAACCTAGGTCGAACTGGAAGGTATACTCTTATAGAAAAATGGAGGGATACTGAGAGACACTTAGCACCTCATGAAAATCCCATCATATCCTTAAACAAATGGGGGCAGTATGCTAGCGATGTGCAGCTCATTTTACGACGAACAGGGCCATCTCTTAGTGAGAGACCCACTTCAGACAGTGTGGCTCGAATTCCTGAAAGAACTTTATACCGGCAGAGTTTGCCTCCTTTAGCAAAACTGAGGCCCCAGATTGACAAATCAATCAAAAGGAGAGAACCTAAAAGAAAATCATTGACATTTACAGGAGGTGCCAAAGGGTTAATGGACATTTTTGGAAAAGGTAAAGAAACTGAATTTAAGCAGAAGGTGCTGAATAACTGCAAAACAACAGCAGATGAGTTAAAGAAACTGATCCGTTTGCAGACAGAGAAACTTCAATCCATTGAGAAAGAGCTGGAATCAAATGACATAGAAATACGATTTTGGGAACAAAAATACAGTTCTAACCTTGAGGAGGAAATTGTCCGCCTAGAGCAAAAGATCAAAAGAAATGATGTAGAAATTGAGGAGGAAGAATTTTGGGAAAATGAATTACAGATTGAACAGGAAAATGAAAAACAGCTGAAGGATCAACTTCAAGAAATAAGACAGAAAATAACAGAATGTGAGAGCAAATTAAAGGACTATTTGGCTCAGATCCAAACCATGGAAAGTGGTCTTGAAGCAGAAAAGTTGCAACGGGAAGTGCAGGAGGCCCAGGTCAATGAAGAAGAGGTCAAGGGGAAGATTGGCAAAGTCAAGGGGGAGATTGACATTCAAGGCCAGCAGAGCCTGCGGCTGGAAAATGGCATCAAAGCTGTGGAAAGGTCTCTGGGACAAGCCACCAAACGCTTGCAGGTAGGAACGTGTTTACAGACTGGTATCTGGTTGAGGTGTTGTTCAGATGCTCTTCCATTGAAAGTTAGAAGCCTACCTACACTGGTTTATAAGTTTCTTAAGTTCCTTGGGCTTTTGACAAAGCTAAGGCATGAGACCCAGATAAAGATGAGCGCTACAGCCTCCCAGACCTTTGCTCAGGAGGGCATTTTCTTACCCTGGCACTTGTGGCATTAGGAGAATGTACCCAGGAGTAGAGGGTTCCCATACAGGAGTGGACACTAATGAGGAGACAGACACACTGATCTCCTTCCAAAACTAAGGACATCTAAGCTGAAACAGATCACAAAGGGTCAGTTCAGCAGGTGGCTCTCCTAGATGCCTTCATCTCTGTCATTTGTTGTCAGTCCCTTTTTGAGGAGACAGGCACAGAGGTCCTGCTTAGCTGTATCCCCTCTCTAATCCAAGTCCAAGAGCACATAAATTTCTCAACTTGTATTTCTTTGAACCAGTTCTTGGAAAGACAGTACAGTGATGTTCTAAGTGTGGATCAGAGGTGTCTGTCTCCAACAGGCAAGCCAAAAAGGAACTGATGATAATGTAACTACTTAAGTTTAAATTAATTAAAATTAAATAATAATGAATCTGTTTTAAAATAATTTGAAATTCTAATTTTAGTTAGGCTCGGCAATTTTTCAAGTGCTGAATAGCACATGTGTATACCAACTGCTTTACTGGATACTTCCATCATCAGAGAAAGTTCTCCTGGACAGTGCTGGTTTAGAATTTCACTATCTACCTATCCATCCAGCTTCAGGGCACACTTGTTAAAATTCAGAATTACACTGTAACAAGATCTCCAAATAGTGCCTCAGCAGTGTCCCATGGGTTTCCAAAAGATCTGACATGATTTCCTTCCTCAATCACCAACTGCATTACACGATAATACTACTACCCACATTTTGAAAATCAGACATTTCTAATGTAGTAGAAGGTTGTTAACCTATGATTTGTCAGCATTTTACTATTTAGGTTCATTTTCACACTTAAAACAAGGATATAATTGAAAATAGAGTTTCCTTTGATATTCCTTATAGGAATATGATTTTTGACCACATTATCAGTAAATCCCACAGCCCATCAAAAAGGGTCCAGTAATCAAACTACTAGCATGTCTCCAGGTACACACACCCTACACTCAAAATAAGTAGGGGCAACAATCAGTCCTTTCTACTATCTTGTCCTCACCAATCCTCAGACACCAGCCTGGGAGGGACCTTGCCTTTTTCTTATAGTGCAATAGGGAGAGAAAGAGAAGAAAAACCATTTACAAAGTTGAGTACCATTTGCTTTTGGAGCTTTCTGGCTGTCCAAACTCACTCTCCTTTCTTCACGTTCTTAGACCTCTCTTTGTCAGAGATTTACAAACCTCATAGTAGATGTCATGTGACCCAGCAATACTGCTCCTGGGAATTTATCCCAAGAATATGAAAACACTAATCTGAAGAGATAAATGTACCCCTGTGTTCATAGCAACATATTCACAATAGCTAAATCATGGAAGAGACCTAAATGCCCATTGACTGAATAAAGTAGCTGTGGCCAGTATACTCAAGGAATACTGAGTAGCTTTTGAAAATGGTCAACCTTTGGTTTGTGGTATAGGTGGGATTGAAGGGGATCAGAGGAAGAAAGACCACATGATTTACTTATGTTTATAAAGAAACAAAGCAACAGCACTAACAAATCACAGCAAAATGTCTCTCAGACTCTGGTGCCCAGGGGCAGGGGAGAGCAGGTATCAGCCTGATAGTGAGAAGAGCACTAGAAACCAATGGAGGCGGTAGTTGAGGCTCTCTCGCTCGCTCTCTTACGCTCTCTCGCTCTCTCTTTTGGTTTCTCTCTCTCTCACACACACAGACTATGAAATTTGCATAGTATTTTAAATCAGTAGTAAAAATCAATAGAACATATTTAAAAATAAATAAAAGCACTGTTGTGAGACTCCTGTGGGCACATTGCTTTCCTCGTGCTATAAGTCTCAATAATTAATCCCTTGAAAATTTTATGAACAGTTTACAAAACCAAGAACTCTGAATCCCACAGATCAAGTGACTGCAGTCAGTTATGGAGTGGATAATAGGAAGATTTAATTATAAATGACTTTGCAAGATTGCCATAAACCCTGGGATGGATGGAGACCAGTATTTGATTCATGGTTGTTTCATCAGGTGTGTAGTGTATTCCTAGCAGAGACATATTACACTTGGAGAAATGGTTTAAAGAAGCTGTTGGCCTTTATTTGCTTATTTGTTGGCTCCCGCCGCTGACTGAAAGTGGTCTCGTCAGCCCATTGCGTCAGCGGGAACCAGCTTTGTGAACACGGGGGCCCCCACGTTCCACCCCTGTAGCAGATGGACCCTCTCTGGAATGTCTTTAGCTGGCACATAGTGACTCCTCCAATTAAAAAAAAAACATGTAACTTCCATCTAGGACAAAGAGCAAGAACTGGAGCAGTTGACTAAAGAGCTGCGGCAAGTCAACCTCCAGCAGTTTATCCAGCAGACAGGGACAAAAGTGACCGTTTTGCCAGCGGAGCCCATTGAAGTAGAGGCCGCACACACAGACATAGAAAGGGGTAAGATGCTGAGAAATGTGCTGTTTTACTTGATCCTAACTGGTTAACTTTCAATACATTCAGAGTACCTTTCAAAGCTAATTCTTGGGCCACTTACAAGACAATTTAATGCAATGTCCCTTTCTGGGGGAAAATCAGTATTTTGGTTATTTATTTAGATGAGCATGTATTCACCAAATTGCATCTCTGTCCTTTTAAGCACTTCTCTGTCGTTTTTTTTCCCACTGAGACTTATATGAGTCCTATGTAGACATTTCACTTAAGTAGTGGCCTCTCTGTTCCTCTCCTCAACATCTTTGTTAGTAATTGGTGCTGTCATTTAGTCACTTCTAAATCTGTGTATGCTTATGGTCTGAACATTCAAGGAGGAGAAGCAAAGTGTTCATCCTTTCAGAAACATCACTAACTGTTCAAATCACTGCAAACTTGTCGAGCAAGGGCCCAAGCAAAGTTAGCTTCTCCTTCCACCCAGCACCCCGGGGGACTGCAGCTGCTCTACTTTGTTCCTGAGGGCATGGTGGGGGGACATTCCAGGCTCTCATAAATAATGCTGAGCGCTCCGAGTTGATGATACACTGAGTGACTCCATGTTTTCCTGTTTAGAGCCTCCATTCCAGTCTGGGTCCCTGAAGCGGCCCGGCTCTTCTCGGCAGCTCCCCAGTAACCTCCGTGTTCTACAGAACCCCTTCTCATCTGGTTTTAACCCTGAAGGCATATATGTATAACGTATCTGTCTTCAGGGGAGAGACCCAGAATGGTTCCAGGGACAGTAACATTCCCTCTTTGACACGTGCCAATGATGAACAGAGGATTATTTCACAGACCACAGTATCTTTTTCTGTCCTAAATTGCACACCACCCGGAGCCCTACCCCGCGCACTGAGGCTAAAGAACAAAGAAACTGTGTCTGCACACATCGACAGTGTTGACGCTTTTGTCCAGCAGCTGTATGCAAAGCCTTCGCTTTTGTCCACAGCATGTTGAGAGCACTCAGGAGAGCATTCTATCTTGTGTGTACACATAAATAAACCCGTGACTTCAGAGTGAAGAGAGAGGTGCGACTGTCTTAGTTTAATTTATTCCATGTAACCCATTAATGGGTGAATGATTGTGTGTTCTATTTTTTATTAATACTCATTCTGTGACGCAAAGCACATCACCTCTCCTGTGGTGATGCCTGTTCCAGACTCCATCCACAATTCTCCACCCGAAGAACTTACTTGCTTTTATTTTGTGAATCTGTCTCACCATTGCTGACTTAGAAGACGTAATTCAGGCTTCCTTTTTAATCTAGAGTTTAATTTTTCATTTACAGTATTTCTAGTATACGAGTGGCCATTTTCATGAGGTAAATTATACACTCAAAATACTTGCAGTGCTTCAGACACTGTTGAACAAACCGTAATTCTTGAATATCTGTCGACACAGGCATGGAGGTTTCCTGATTCGTTTTCTATCTTATTTCTGCCCTGCCTTATCATTTTACTCTCATGAATCTCCAGGATTATCTGAGGATATATAAATTAGAGATAGCTGAGGACCTAGTCCACCTGCTTCAGGAAGGTGGCCCAGAGACTCAGCTTAAAACAACGCACTTCCTAGGTGTGGCCCATCAGTATGCATACCCATGGGTACACTCTTGCCCGTTCATCATCTACTCTGTACGGTATGTACTGTTACCATGTCCACATTCACCGAGTGAAAGCAGAATAGAGTTAGGTACTTTATCAAAAAAATAAAGTTGAGTTCAGTGTATTTTTTTATTTTCAAATTTGCCTTTGACAGTACATTAACCTCCATTTGTGTGTGTGTGTGTGTGTGTGTGTGTGTGTGTATACACTTACATAGGTATTCTTATTTATCAAACCAAAAATTAGTCAATCTCCCTCCCATGAGTAGTGGCTTTAAGACTCACTAGAGAGATGTGGTCAGTTACCTCTTCACCATTTTTATATTCCCTCTGATCAAACTTTGGTACAATATGATTAAGACTTTGAAATTGAAAGTAGCTTAATTCTGAGGAGAGTACACTCTCTGTATTATTTACACACAATAAAGTTAAAGTGGATTAGTATATTAATGCCATGGTAACAATAAGAAGACATGTTACATCTTATGCATGAGGACATCTTTGGATGTTTTAACACATTTGACTTATTTTTGGTTTAATGAATGCTGAGAATGCTGCTATATTTAGAATTCCAATGAAAAAACTTAAGAATGGTTATGAAAATACATAGGAGCTTCTAGAGAACTGAAAGTAATAGTGCAGAGTTGCCTTTTCTAGTGCAGCTAAATGGCTGACTTCAGCTCAAGGTATTGTTTTCTTTGGGTTCTTGGAGTTGTCAAGTTGACCTTGCCATATACCGTTTTGTGAATAACTTGAGAAATTACCTAGATAACCACAACACATATGCTTTTGCTCTCAATTTATAATAGTTATTTCATATGTACATACTATATTTAAAATGAGGAAAATTTAAAAGTCAAAATAATTTGTAGATTTTGTGACAATGACTTATGTATGCCTGGTATATGCCTTATTTTTAAAGGATTCCACCCTCTACTGAGTCATTTTCTTACTGTAGTTCAGAGAAGTTGAGATCTTATTCACAAAGAAAAACATTTTTATAAATTTAACATAATCCTATTAAAATCAAAATGTTAAACTGAAGGTATATTAAACTTTGCAGTTGTAAATTGCAGCAAAGTCTTGGTATGTCAGAAAAAACACAAAGTCAGTAGCCAACATAACAGTGTCAAGTACTATCAGCACTAACGTAATGACGTCAGAAAGAGCCTGGCATCAGCGCCCTCCCACCGCAGGAGCCGATTCCGAGCAGCAGCCCAGTTAACCTCGCTGACAATTTTGTCCAGGTCCTCAAGCTGCCACACCATCCTCGTGGACCTCATTACAGGTAGGGAGGTGGGGGGAATCCAAGTGTGAATCTAGTGAAAACGTCACGCAGCTGGCCTTTTTAATCAGCTCCATTACTTCTGAAAGCACATCTCTAAGAAATATTTTCTAAGTCTTTTTTTAAAACAAGGAAAACTCATTTCCCTAGAACGTCTTAAAGATAGTCTTGTCCTGGTCATTTTTATCTTTTATAAATACCAATAAATTAAGTGCCGCATCTTTGGATACATTTCAGAGCGGGCAGTAGGAAGTGGTATACAGAAATACCAGCTATAAAATTTGCATCAATGGGAACAAGTGAGGTTCTAAATATCAAATTAGATCACAAGCTTTTAAAAAAAAATTATTATATCAGAAGTTCTACTGCAGTTTTCTACAGGTATTAAACACATTGGAAGATCGTTTGAAAGGGCAGAGGTGTGAGGTGTATTTGACCCTTTGTCATCCTCAGCGAATGGCCCCTTGGGGGCTGCTCAGTCCTTCTGTTGTTCTTCTGAAATAATTGTGTTTGTTAGCATTTGAGTAGTGTCTTGATGCATTGGGAGACTTTGGTTGATACAATAGAGTTATCCACTTAAGGCGGCAGGCAGCTCTGACCTAATCCCCAATTCCTGTAGTTCTAATTAGTCATAAACTTGAGCTGAAACAAAACTGAAACAGTGAAAATGGAGAATTTGTGTTGTGAAATGGGAATTTTAACCTTGTTTACAAAGAAGAAGTAAGTCCTTGCTTCCAGAGTATAAATGAAATTTGTTCTGCATTAAAAAGAAACTTTTCTTTGTGAATAAGAGCAAAATGGTCTTTAGAGAAGAGAGACTTCATTTAAAGTCATTTCTGTGAACATCTTTCCAAGTTAGAACTGTGAGAATGGATTGAGGAAATAATACAGAAAAGGCAGAAACTCTTGATTGCAGGTGTGCAAAGGGATCAGCTGAGGGGCAGTTCCCTGCATCGCCTTTGAACAATTGGGCCTTAATTTACATGTAAATAACGATACTGTGTTCACATCCCTCTTCTACCCAAAGCTGTAGTTGATAAGTCTGTACTGTATTGAAGTTTAGCTCATACGTATTACTTTAATATTATGTCCATTTTTTTAAGTTGCATGTTTATACTGTTTGCTACAGTATTTTTTTTTTAAGTTTGGGTGAAGGCCATCAGCTGTGTTGAGAAGACAAAACAATCACTATTTATTCTGTATTGCTGCTTTACATTCTCAGAATAAGCTTTCAATGCCAGGACAGTGACTGCTTGAAAGCTGCAGGAGCTCTATTCCAATGCATTTTATATATTTTTAGAAACCAAATAAATGCAGATAACTATTTAGTATACTAATTATATTAAACCAGCAGAAATATAAAGGCAATAAAATATATACATATATATATGGGGAGGGAAAAGATTAAATATAGGTTTACAGCCAGACATGGTTATAGCCCTAAATGTATTTCTCAATGTTTTTCTTTATTGACCCTAGGAGGATTTGAGTTGCTGCAGCTTTAAACAGAAAATTGCCACCATCACTAATTGTGAATATAAGTCTGCTTTTAGTACTGCTTTGCTTATGTACAAATAAAATGTCTGTAATCTGTATTATATGTAATTATTCTTTTGACTTTCATTTCAAATGTATACTTTCTGATTATTATCATGAGCTATAAAACAAATGATTAATATCTGATAATTCTCCTAAATAATAAATTTTCAGGATTCATTGGGGCATTACAATTGCTGGTTTGTTTGTTATATTCTTAATTTTGTAAAACATTTTATTTCCTTTAAAAGATGCCAAAGAGAGTAGGCCTGTACATTAGTAATGCATATATATAAGAGTGATGGTATAACTTACAAATCATCTTTGGTGGAAAAGGCAGCTGTTTCACCTAAATCAAAGAAATTAAGAAATTAATATACCCTTTTGCTTAAAAAGTACAAGAAAAAATATTTTTTAATGAAGCCCTGTGTCCCCAGATCTCCAGGAAGCTGAGAGAGGAAGAGGGTAACAGCTCCTGGTCGGCCCAGTGCCAGGGCAAAGAAGAGCCTCTCAGCCATCTGGGAGCTTCTCCCAAGTCCCACAATAATAAGGAGCTCATGGGGTTTTTCTCAAATTTTAGAAATTTGCAAGTTGTTTATATGACTAGGTAGTTTTACAGGAGAACAGCTTTGCCCCCTTCCTCAACAGAGCCCCAATCACATGGTGCTTGAATCAAGATCTTCTGGAACTTTCCTGCATTCCATGATAGAGTTACATAGGCTTTACAGTGCCCAACTTCTGCCTTCTAACCATTTTTTAATGTAAAAGTAACATACAAGTACAAAAATTGAATTTTTTATGTACTTTTAAGTAGTAGTTAGCTCTTGATCAAGAAAATTATACATGGAACCATATTACTAGAGAACCAAAGGTTTGAATGAGAAATAATGTCAAAATGTAAGTCATTCTATTTCCTTTTGGGGGAGCCTTTTTTACTTATCCTGTCCTACTCCAAAGTCATAAGTCTTGTTAATGGCAGAGCAAGAATAAACCCCTGTCCACCTGACCCTCCTCCTGTGGCCCACTCCATGGTCTTGAGGGAAGGCTTCAGAACAGGAGGAACATGCTGGCCACCTTTGCCTTCTACATCCTTCAGTGGTGCACTGCTACCATTGGGATGCCAGCCTGACATTCGTAGGATTTGCTTTGCATCCTAAGGAGGTCCCAGTGTAACCCACACCACAAAAGGAGTAAGAGTTAACATGGCTGGAGACACCAGGGGGCCTTACCCCAGTGCAACCCTCGGCAACCCCTGGAGAAGGAAGGGCCTCTGGTGTGGCTAGATAATGAAGATGTGGAGGGCTGTGTTGGCTAAGAGAGGTGGATAGGCCTCAGGTTGGAAAGACCCTTGGTTGCCTTGATGAGTTTGGACTTGACCCAGAAAGCTGTGCAGGGGAGTTTAGGATGTAAATGAACGAGTCAGATTAGCACACTGGGAAGGCCCTTCCGGCCGACCCTGTGGAGGACTATCTGGAGAAGGGGTCTGATGAGAGACTAGGAAAGACCACTGCCAAGATGAGCAGGCCTGAGGTGCTAGAGACCAGAACTGCCAAGGTAACTGTGGGTGCTTTGTGCCAGGAAAAGAGGAGCAACAAAGCAGCTGCAGGCATCCCCAGGTGGAGAGCAGTGAAAGGACCCCATGTCTAAGAGGTGAAAGCAGAGATGAACCACCCATGCTGTAGGTGCTAGACAGCTCTCCACACCTTCACTGCCCAGTGGGAACAGTGCTGCAGGCTGGTCTACATCGTGAGTGTTCATGGGGACTCTGTTGAGATACAAGATTGGTTTCACATCCAGAGCTTGGCCTGCAGTACACACCAGCCACCTCCCACCTGCAGTGTGCCCTGCCGCCTGGCCTAGGAGGATGACATGGAGATGGGGAAATGCCCTTGTTAGCCTCCAATTTAACCTCAGATAAACCTTCCCTTCACCCGGGACATGGGAGCCCTTTTTCCCAGCATCATGTTTGTTTGTGGGCTCTCAGCCAGGTACATCCATCTGCTGTGAGAGTGTGTCCAGAATGACAGAAAGGCCTGACCATGGTCCAGAACAAAAGGAAGTAAAGAGGATGAACACCAACTCTTCTGTCAGCCCAGCCATGACCATGTATCTGCAAAAGCTACAAGCATGAAAATCAAATAAGCAAATAGGAAAACTTAGTAATCAATAATTTTTATAGTATGAGGCAATCACAGTGTTTTTAAGCAGAATACAATGAGCTTAAGTGCTCTGTAGCAGTAAGTAGCATAGAAAAAGTGAAAAGTGGGTGGGGAGAGCGTGGAGCCACCCCATGCTCCACCAGCACAGCGACAGAGCGCCGCAGAGACCCACCTCCACATTCCCCCACCAAAGTGGTCCTGTATCACAGCCCTCAGATTGTACCATCCTGGGCTACCTTGACAAACTAAAAAGGTCTGTCTATTGAGCCAAAATAGATTTCCTTGTAATTTCTCATTGAAGACCACACAGAAGTAATGTCTCATCATTGTGGCTATACTTCACATATTTAAAGCCATCAGCTTTGTCCCCTGATATTGTCATTCCCAGGGTTAATCTTCACGATTCTTCCAAAGTGTAGTTTCCAGCCTCCTCTCTTCCTGAATATACTCTAGATTTCTCTCAAATGTGACAGCCAGCACCCATCACACAGTTCCACTGGTGATTAATCCAGGTCGGTGCTGAGAAATGGCATGCATGGCTAAGCAGCCTGATGCCAAACTGGGTGGGTGAGGGTCTCATTAGTCTGTTGTGAACCATTTTATTGAATCATTGAGCTGACCATTGGCTAAAATTTCCATCTTTGTACATTTTCTTCCATCAGTGAAATACTTTGTACATGTTCTTACACCGGTGATTAATAATGTTAAATGAATGAATGTATAGTATGTCTCCAAGGTAGAGTTAATTTTCAATTTGCTTTTTCTGTCTGGGCTACCTTACTATTTATTTATTGAAAAGGTCTATTTATTTATTTATTTACGCACACAGAACTGGGGTACAAACCAGGGGTGCAGAGGCAATGAGAGGCTTCACCAGAGAAAGATCGGGGTGCGGAACAGGCAGATCAACAAAGTACACCACTGAGGGGAGCAGCGGTCATGCCAGGAGAGGTCTGCCATGCCATGGGGGCCACCTCTGTCTGGGACGGGGATTGAACTCATGCTGGCTTTGGCTTCTTAGTGCTGTTCTTTAACCCATATTTCTTTCCAGTTCTTCATTATCTTGGTATTTGTACTTGAGCTCTAGTATGCGTGCAGAATCTTAAACCAAAATACCTCTGAACACTTGGAGAGCATAGGTTCCAGAAGGGAGATGTGAGCTTTCATGCTGGATCAATGAAAAGGTGAACTTTGTCGGGGAAATTCCAAGAACACATGAGTGATGAGTGAGGAGGAGGAGGGTCAGAGAGGACTCCATTCAGGGAGCTGTGTTCATCTCCTGGAGAATCAGTAAGCTTTGGCTCATTCAGCAGTACTGAGTGTCTACTATGTACTAAGCACTTGAGTTGCAGCAGTGAACTCAAAAGACCACAATCCTTGCCCATGTGGAGCTGATATTCCAAAGGGAAAAACAACAGAATAAAGAGGTAAAATATACAGTATTTTTGACTGTGATAAAAACTAAGGAAAAAAACAAAGCAGTGAAGAGCAGTAAAAGTAACCAGAAGTTGGGGAAGAACTGCAATTTATTTATTTTTACTTTCTTTTTTTTTTAAATATAATAGTTTATATCATTTTGTACATTTAGAACTGCAATTTATACAGGACTGAGAAGGCCTCTCTTAGAAGGCACCTGGAATAAGACCTGGAGGAGGGCGCAGGAACCTGGAAGACCTGTGGTGTCCAGTTTTCTGTTTCCAGGCAACGGTCTTACACTGTGCAGGCCTGTTCCTGGCTGTGAGTCTATAACCCCTTCTCCCCGTTGCTCATCAATATTCTCAAATCTAATAAAGTGAAGGGAGATAATATTTGAAAGGTATTTTTAAAGTATTTAAAACCTGAATTGAATTACCCTTAATCCTTCCCAGATTAAAATTAGATTCATAGGTAAAACGTCCTATGAATAGACTCTTCCCCACCCAACCCAGTGGTGAAAGGGATACTGTATTTTTCTAGACATCCCCTCCAGATGCAGTACAGCTTTGTAATCTGAAGGTGTGGTATTTTTCCATTTGAGGCCTCAGAAACAAGCCATCTGCCAGCTCCAGACCAAAGTCAAGAGTCTTTATGAAAGGGATCTGTAAGGAGACCCAGGACTGCTGGGCACGTTCCGCAGGCTCTGCATAAAGACTCCCCAGAGGGAGCCTGGGGTGGTGGGTGGCTGAACAGAGCCCACTGAATCAGGATAAGAGGAGGAACTGACAGGAAATGGGGCCATATTGTGCAGTACCTCGGGCTTCCGCAGGAAGACAATGGAGACCCTGGCCAGGACAAGGAGATCCAAGATGAGACTGGCCTTTAGAAACACTTCTCGTGGTGATGTTGCTGTTAAAGTAATGAGCCACAGGGGAATGAGCCACAGCTATGAACAGTCATGCCCACTGTCCAGATCCTCTCTCCTTCCAAAACACGAGTCAATCCCTGTGACAGCACTTCCAACCCTGAGCATAGGTATGATCCAGCCCATGGAAGCCCCTAGGTGGACCGAAATGGAAAGTTTTATGGCTATATAGTGCAAGGACATATACAAAGAGATTGCTCTACAGTATGCTTAAAATATCCTGTTATAGGCCCTCCCTGGTGGCGCAGCGGGTTAAAGCACTGCACTGAGGAGCTAAAGCCACTTCCGCACGAGTTCGATTCCCGCCTGCCCCAGAGGTGACCACATGGCGTGGCAGACCTCTCCTGACCCGCCCGCTGCTCCCCTCAGCAGTGTACTTCGTGGATCTGCCTGTTCTGCTCCCCACTCTGTCTCTAGTGAAGCCTCTCGCCACCCCTGAGCCTCTGGCCTGTACCCCAGTTCTGTATGTACAAATAAAAAATAAAATATCCTGTTATATGCTAAATCTTTTACTTTCTGTCACAAAGATAGGGACCACGGCTGCTCACTACCCCTCTATTTCCGGTATCTCCCCCAGGCCCAGGCATGAGATGTGTACTCAGAAAAGATTAATAGAATGAAGAGAGATGAGTGACTT